GAGACTGAGAGCCAGGCCTTCTCGACCAACATCAGTGTGTGACCTCACCAATGCGCTTTTGAGCGCATTGTCAAAAATTCCTATCAACACTCTCCTCAACCTTGTGGACAGTCTTCCCAGAAGAGTTGAAGCTGTAATAGCTGCAAAAGGTGGACCGACATCATATTGAACTCTGGGTTAGGAATGGGATGGCACTTCAGTTCATAGTATGAGTCAAGGCAGGTGAGCCAATACTTTTGGTAATATAGTGTATGTTATCAATAAAACATCTTTGTTGCTGTCTGTGGCTTCATCCATCTGTAGAAAAGCAGCTGTCACACACTTTATCCTCAAGCTGCTCCTCAATGTCCTTTGATATATCATAAAGGCCCGGTGTTGTTGGACAGAGGAATAACCATTACTTTGTTGAATGTAGTACTATCAAACATAGTTAAAACCAGATCCATAATGCAGGGAAGTATCAATTCTTCCACTCTCCTGTGGTTTTTACAGTAAGCAACTTTGTATGACGGGAGTTGAGCATTTCTCAGTTTGTCTCCAAATGTTTTCTTTTTTTGACTTCAAGCTGTCACAAGCAAGCACTTGAGAACAGACAACACACTGCGGTCTCCCCTCTTTACCCACCACTGTACAGGTCAAGCCAAATGCAACATATCCGTTGTCATATGTTCTTGTCTTTCGCTTGGAAAGTATTTTTGGTAATGATTCATGCTCTGCTTTGCGTTTATGAGGGAGTTCATTACAAATTGTGTCAATTTTATGCTAGCGTAGGGTTGCCAACTTTGTTTAGTTGGAAGGAGTAAAATTTTCTGTGTGGCGGGGAGCATCCTGTGCCTCATGGCACTGCTACTGTTGCTCTGGGTAGATCAAACGAGAGAGAGCAAAAACTACATTGAAAATTAAAAATAACAGCGCCCTTTACAATATTATTATCAGATATTAATTTTACACTGCCTACAACCAATTTGTTCGTTGCCAGTCTCTTGTTAAACATTTACAGCACTGGACAATATGCTTGAGTTAAGTTTCATTCATTCATTCCATCTGCTACCTCCTGCAATGGCACTGCACCCCTGTAGGGGCCGCACCACCCCACTTTGGGAACCTCTGGCTTAATGTAAAATATTTTTTTAGTCATTAAGAACTTAGCAATTCAAATGGAGACATAAATGTATGGATTTCCTTCTGGCTAGCCTTTAAATTCTAAATACTTTTTTGTAAACCTTAAGATATTTTTGGCTGAACGTAAGCTACTTTCTTATCAATCATCTGAGAATGTTGTATCTGTTCATAGGCAGATGACAGCTTACTACCTTTTACTAAAACCTGACAACCTAACTAAATTTATAATCTTGACTTTACACCTCTTTCTTTAAAATTCTGGAATTTGCTGATTTCAAATCAAATAATCATCATGAAATATTTTAACTTTGTCGAAATTTGTGCCCTGGACCTGGAGTCCAGGTTAAGATGTTTTAAAGAGCTCTGCAAATCATATGTTTGATGATCTAGTAAGTAGGAACTCATCGAATCTGCTGCAGATGCTCGCATCTATTTTTCTTGAGTTTAATAAAAAAAATATTTCACACTTTGTTTTAAATCAATGGTCAAACAGTGGCTGCCTGTAGTCATGTTACCATGGCAACAGAGCATATCCATAGCAACGAAGAAGGCTCAAACTCCAGTGGGGTTTTTTTTTTTTTTTTTTTACTCCAGTGGGGTTTTTTTTTTGTTTTTTTTTTTCCATGAGAAAAGTGAAGCATCTTTACTCTGCTGATCCTGGCAGTTTTGTTAATGACACCGTTAACCCAGAAGACTCATTGTTAGACCTGGTACCACATCCTTTTAGAATCTCTGTTTAGCAAATGATTACAAGAGATTTACCATCAGCCCATGGCCTAGTGCAGGTGCGGGAAAACCATTTGACTCGCGGGCCACAGTGGGTGCTAAAATCTGACATGGGGGGCTGGGTCATGAGCAGATAGATGGCGCGACGTGTGAACTAAGACAAATGACATGTAAAAGTCATGCGTAAAGGCTAAAAAATGCTTTTAGCCTTTTCTACACTATCTATTGGGGGAAATGAGGGCATTTCAGGGAAAAGGCAGAAGTAGTATGATACTTGAAATTAATACAATAATTTGGATAAGTTTGGTGGGCCAGGTTTAAAAGCCAAACGGGCCGCCTCTGGCCCCGGGCCGTAGTTTGCCCATGACTGGCCTATTGAGCTTTTTATTTTAGGATTTCAAATTCCTAACCAGGCTTGAATGTGTTGTGTTAGGCAAAAAAAAAAAACCCAACTTCAAACCAATTCCCCGAGTAATTTCTGTGGTGCTTTGATTTTCACTGCAGGCAAAAGCATAAAAAAAAAGTACTTTTAATATTATATACAAAACACTCACGCTTTGTCTCATGCCTACTTATCCCTATCCTCCTTCTTTCTTTGCGGGTACATGTGTGTGTGTGTGTGTGTGTGTGGGTACATATGTGTGTGTGTGTTGTGAACACTCGCTGTCTTGCAAGTGCAATCTGGGAAACAGCCAGAGAGGCCTCAGGACACATGCCTCAACATTTCCATGTAAACACTGAACATTCTAGTTTGTGTGTGCGTGTGTAACATCCAAATGTGTGTGTATGTGTGCGCCTTGTGCTAGATGAGGGTGAGGGAGGTTCATTTATAATTCATTCAGTGAAAGAAAGAGTTGTCAGAAAACAAAAAGTTT